TTTTTCAAAATACTGGACATTGGCAGTGATGGACTGTGACCTCCCCACCGCAGAGAAATGGGTGATGGGAGCCCTGCGCATGCTCCAGCTTACTGCCCTGGGGTGCTTCTGGGCTGTGATGCAGGAAGAGGAACCCCAGGGTGGGGAGGGGCACGGGACTCCACGAGTCAAGGAGACAGGACTTAGAGACCAGTGCATCTGGGATTTTCAGGATCGAGTACAAAGGAGCAAAGAGCTGCTCGGGAGAGAAACTCCTGGAGAACTCATCTCACGCATGTCGGGGAATTTCCGATTTTATTAATCTCAAAAGAGCAGCTTTTTATTTTAGTGACTTTGTTGTCTGTGTCTTTGTCTTCGTTTTTCTGCTTAACAAACTTTTTAATAAAAGGGCTAAATAGAAATATTTTAGGTTTTAAGTTCATATGGTCTGTGCCACAACTCTCCGCCCTGCTGCTGTAAAATTGTTACGACGCCAGCAAGACTGATAGGGGGGAAAGAGAGAAGACCCACGTTACCGATATCAGAAATGAGAGGGTTGGCATCACTAGAGTCTTCAAGTAGTAAAAACATAATAAGGGAATATTATAAACAACTTTACACCAATAAATTCAACAATTTAGATGAAACAAATTCCTTGACAGATACAAAGTGCCAATGCTCACTCAAGAAGAAATAGATGCATATGTTATGTTAAACTTGTTATTAAAACCCCTTCCCTAAAAGAAAAGTCCAGGTCTAGGTGGCTTCACTGGTGAATTCTACCAACATTAACAAATAAGTAATAGTAACAAATAAGTAACACAAACTCTTCCAAAAATATTGAAAAGGAAGGATACTCGCCAGCTTATTCTGTGAGGCCAGCATTATGCTGATACCAAAACTGACAAAGTCGTTATAAGAAAAGAAAATGTCAGCCCAATATCCATATGAATATAAATGAAAAATTCTCAACAAAATGTTAGCAAATTGAATTCAACAACATATAAAAAGGATAACACATCGTGAGCAATTGGGATTCCAGGCATGCAAGGTTGGTTTAAGATTTGAAAATTCATCAATGTAATTTATCATATTAAAAAACTAAAATAAAATCATGTGATGTCTCAATAGATACATAAAAACCATTTGACAAAATCCAACATCCATTTCTGATTTAAAAAAACAACCTCTCAGCAAGCTGGAAATAGGAGAGAACTTCCTCAGCCTGAGAAAGGACATCGACAAAAAACCTACAGCAGATACACTTAATGGAATGCTTTTTGCCAGAAGATGACCAAGACATGGACGTCTACTCTCACCACTTCTACTTAACACTGTGTAACTGAGGCTATAGTAAGTGCAATGAGTGGCAAGCGAAAGAAATAAAGGCACCCAGATTGGAAGGTAAGAACTACAGCTGTCTGCGTTTGCAGATGGTACAATCGCCTCTCTAGGTGCTCTGCCAAGTCAACAGAGAAAGGGTGGTCTGTTCAACAAATGGTGCCAGGTCAGCTGGACAATCAGGTACAAAAGGATGAACTCGTACCTTACACCATATACAAAAACTAACTCATAGACCTAGATGTAAGCCCTAAAACTATGAAACTTTTACAAGAAAACTTTTTTGACCTTGGCTTAAGGAAATATTTCTTAGGTACAAAACCAGAAGCACACTCAATAAAAGAAAAAGTTCATTAAATTGGGCTTGATCAAAATTAAAAACTTCTCTTCTCAAAAATCCGCTGTGAATAGAATGAAAAGAAAAGGCACAGATGGGAGAAATATCCGCAAAGCATATATCTGATAAATGACTTGTACCCAGAATATGTGAAGAACTCAACTCTCAATAATAATGAAAATGAACAACATATTTTAAAAGTGGTCAAAAGAAATTTCACCAAAGAAGATACATGGATGGCAACTAAGTACATAACAAGGTGTCCAACAGCTTTAGTCATTTAGGAAATGCAAACTCAAACACCTGGTGTATAGCTGCACACCCGTAGAATGGCTGGAAGTCCAAAGGCCGACCAGACCAGGCATTGGCAAGAAAGTGGAGGACCAGGAACTCTGCGCTTCTGGGGGGATGTACTAGTAAAGGGTGCAGTCACTTTGGAAAACAGTTTGTGACAATTTCTCAAAAAGTCAAACATATGTATATAACATACATAAACATACACACATGAAAACACATTAACAAGTTAGATATACAGGCTCAGAGCACCATGAGAGGGAGACCATGGGCAGGGGCACAGCTGGGCATGAGAACAGCTGTCAACAGCTGGGCAGGGCAGGTCCAAAGTTTTGTAGGTGATGTTCTTATGAAGCCTGTATGACTTGGGTGGCCCTCTTTGGGAAAAAGCATTGAAAAATGAGGCATTCTAATTTGGTGTAAACTTGAGTATTCATTTAGGACGAACAAGTACCCACACAAGTCCTTGGAGCCTGGACCTCCAGGCGCCTCTCTTCTGAGTCATCTTGAGACTCTTCAGAGAAGCCCCTGGTGGCAACCAGCTGCCCCTCCCCACCCAGAACCCTAGCCATCTCAGCCCTCAAGGCCACGTGGTGTGGGGTCCTACTGGTGTCGAGGCGCTGTCCCCGCCTGCAGCTGGCGGAGCTGTGGGTGTCTCCTGGGCCAGAGGTCCACACTGCCTCCGGCCTTCAGGCTCTGGGTCTCTGCCCAAAGCTGTCTTCCTCGCCACCCCTGCAGCACTGCTACTCAGTAGCTGTGGGAACCCAAAGAGCAGGGCTGTGAGTGTAGCGAGGGCTCCAGAAGGCACTGTGTTGCCCTGGCTGTCTTGTCTCCTTGCTCAACACCCTCCTCAGCTTTGGGACCCACTGGCCTCTCCTGCTTCCCACCTGGCCTCAGGCCTTGCTCCCAGTGCCCCTCTCCCTGCTCCAGGTCCCCCCTCGCAGGTCCATGAGCTGGGTCCAGAGCTGAGGACTTGGAGTCCCTGGCTCTGCTATGCACTGGCGGTGTGAGTTCAGGCCAGTTCCTCAATCCCGTGTGCTTCAGTGTCCTCATCTGTAAATGCAGGTGGTAAAAGTCTTCCCTCAGAGGCGCTATGAAGCTTAAAGGATCTAGGATGGCAGGTGTGTCTGTCGCTTTGTTCATTTGAGTGTCTACAGCTCCTAAAAGAATCCCAGGCAGGTGCTAGGTGCTCAGTGAGCACTTGCTTCTGTCTGGTCTCCACCCTGGGGCTGCGGCCTCCAGTGAGGACGGAGTGTCCCAGTTCTCCCAGCTGCTATCCCACTCCCTTGGGAGCACAGGTCTGCAGGCCTCGCCCCACCGCCCACGGTCCTGGTTAGGGTCTGACGCTCTGGGACCAGGGGCAAGTATATAGGCAAGTTACATACTATGTGATGTTGGGGGGGGGAGGGGAGGAAAGAGGGGCTGCAAAAAGACAACATCATTCTTGAAAATCCCTTAAGTTGCCTATGAAGTTCAGTATAAATGGTTTATATACATCCCAAATACTAGTTCATTTACATATGGAAGAGAAATTCATGAACACATGAGACCCACTGGAGTTACTATACGGAAAACCTTAGATTACCAATAGCTGTCTGAGTTTTCCTCCTTCTGCCTTTATTTTATTTTATTTTACTTTAAAAAGTATTTATTACTGAAAGTATTACAGATGTTTCCTTGACCCCTTCTAGCCCTCTGCTCTGAGTCACTGGACCCACACCATTCATCAGTTTATTTTGTTACTTAGAATCTGAAATATACGAGTGCAATCATATGATACTTGTCTTTCTCTGACTGCCTTATTTCACTTAACATGATACTCTCCAGCTCCTTCCATGCTGTCTCAAAGGCTAAGAGACCCTTCTTTTTTTTATTGCTGCATAGTATTCATTGGTGTAAATGTACCACAGCTTTTTATCCACTCATCTACTGATGGACACTTGGGCTGTTTCCAGATCTTAGCTATTGTAAATTGTGCTGCTTTGAACATAGAGATGCATATATATTTTCTGATTGGTGTTTCTGGTTTCTTAGGATATAGTCCTAGATGTGGGACCATTGGGTCAAATGGGAGTTCCATATTTAATTTTTTGAGGAAACTCCATACTGTTTTCCACAGAGGCTGCACCAGTCTGCATTCCCACCAGCAGTGCACGAGGGTTCCCTTTTCTCCTCATCCTCACCAGCACTTGTCATTTGTTGATTTGTTGATGGTAGCCATTCTCACAGGTGTGAGATGATACCTTATTGTCATTTTAATTTGCATCTCTCAGATGATGCTCAATTAATATTTGACAAAGGAGGCAAGAGCATACAATGAAGTAAAGAGTCTCTTCAATAAATGGTGTTGGGAAAATTGGACAAATATATGCAAAAAAAAAAAGAGAAACTAGATCACCAACTTACACCATACACGAGAAGAAACTCAAAATGGATAAAAGACTTAAATGTAAGCTGTGAAACCATAAAAATCCTAAAAGAAACCATACACAGCAAAATCTCAGGCATCTCTTACAAGAGATGTTTGGCAATATGTTTACCAATACATCGCCTAAGGCAAAGGAAACTAGGAGAAAAATAAACAAGTGGGACGACATCAAAATAAAAGGCTTCTGCACAGCAAAGGAAACCAACAAAATGAGAAGGGAGCCCCATCTGCCTTTAGATTAGAGTCCATGTGTGGCTGGGAGCGGGGACAGAGCAGAATTTTAGAATTTTACCCTGGGCCCTACCTTCTCCCAGCGGGCCTCCAATCTGTGGGCTTTTTAAAATAGTGCTCCAGGGTGGTTTTAATGATCCTGATTAGATACAGGAAATTAACAAGACTAAAGGAGAAATCCCCCGAAAGTGTCCAAGGCAGATGCATGAGGCTTGAAAGGATGGGCTGCAAAAGTAGAACCCAGAGCAGGGCTGTGGCTGAAGTTTCAGAGAGATGCCCTTCCCGGCCCAGGAATAAACGATGACTGGTGTGAGGCGGGAGAGAGTGCGAGGGGAGGCTCCGTGTCTGCTCAGGGTCCCTGGAGTAAGCCTGTGTCTCCCTGTCTTCCAGGTGGTGCCGGGGAGCGGGAGAAGGTGCCGGCCAGCCCCGAGGGGCTCCTGCTCATGGCCAGTTCTCAGCGTGACATGGAGGACTGGGTGCAGGCCATCCGCCGGGTCATCTGGGCCCCGTTTGGTGGAGGTACTGCCCGTAGCCTGCATGCTCACCCTCTAAAACCCTTGCGTCCAGGTAATCGCGCCCCTCCCCCCGCTCGGCCAGCAGACCCCTCTTGCCCAGGACCCCTGGCTGGGTCCAGGCCTCTCAGGCAGTCAGTGCTGTCCTCTGCAGCCGGCCCGTGAGGGCTGGCCCCTGGTGCACAGGCAGCCCCGGCAGGAAGACCAGGGCCATTTTCCAGACATGCCCTCTGGCGCATCTGGTGCCTTCTGCACCAGACTCTGCTGTGCTCGGTGCGTGAGGTCTGTACCCCGCGGGGTAGGTGCTCGGAGCCATAGCAGATGCCTGCAGTGTCCCTCCCTCTGCGGCGCCTGCGCAGACACAGAGGCCCTGCCCCGGGCAGGACAGCAGCAGCTCCGTTTACTCTCGTCCTGTGCTCACACCTGTGTTGGTGCCTAGACTGTGGTGAGTTTTGTTCTAGACACTGTAGTTCGGTGGGTGGTGAACAAAGTAGGTGGTGACTCCGCCCCCTTTCTGTGCTCTCCTGGGGGAGGGTGGGGGGAGGGGAGACAGAGTGAGAGGCATTGAGTGGCTACAGCCAGTGCGGGGGACAGTGGGACCCGGAGACCAGCTCAGTGAAGTCCCCGGGAGAACGCGGGGAAGAGCACGCAGCAGAGGGACCAGCGAGTGTGTGGGCCCTGAGGTGGGATCGGGCGGTGGGAACACAAGGAATCTCAGGAGGCAGGTGCTTCTGAGGAGTGAGGGCACCAGAGTGGGGCCCTGAGTGGAGAGAGGGCACGGGGGCCTGGGAGCACATGGGGATTTAAGATTTTGTTCTAAATCGATGGGGCATCAGGGAGGCTCTGAGCAAGAGACAGACATGACCTGACTTAGCTGTATAAAAGGAGCCCCGTGGCTGCCATGCGGGGGTGGACCACAGACAAGAGTGGACACGGCAGTCTCGGACAGTGGGGAAAGGTCACGGGCAAGGGCTGGCGTGGGAGTGAAGACTGAAGAGTGGTCGCTGCAGCTGTTCTGCAGGCGGCGCTACCGGGTTTGCTGATGGTCTGGACGTGGGGCAGTTGCTGTGTCCATGGGTGGGTGTCCCCATGTATCATCACGAAAAGAGCTTTCGGGGGGATGGCCACACGGCTGGGCTGGGCCGGCGGCTCCCTGCGGAGCATGTAGAGCAGGGCCTTCGGCCGCCGGGCTCTGGCACAGGAGTCACAGGAGTCCTGCTCTCCCACTCGGTGTCTAATCGGTGCCCAATCCAGACAGCACATCTCCAGGTCCTGCACGCCTCGTGGGCGGGCCCCTTCCTGCCTTGCCTCCCCGCCCTCCTCTCCATTCCTGGCTGCAGAACTCCTGACACCTTGTAGAGAGCAGAGATCTCTTATGCAGTGGAGTCGCCATGACTTTGAAAGTTACAGTTTTCCCCCTGGGCTTCCTCTGTGGCCTCACACTGTCAGCACAGCCTCCTGCCCTGATGGTCGCAGCGAGCAGGACCCACAGCCCCAAGGGAATGGCCGGGAGGACTCGCACCTGTGAGGGTTCTGGCAGCTGCCACGGGTGTCCTTTGGTGCAAGGTGGTTGATAGTGAGCAGATAGAACATAATAGGCTTCCATGTGGCTGGACTTTGCTGTATGATAAGTGGCACCTTTGAACACCGGGAATAGGAGAACATAGCCGTGACCTTGGGGTAGAGAAAGATTTGTAAAATGGGTTACAGAAAGCATTACTCCTGTAGGAAAAGATTGACAAATTGTACCATATAAAATGAAGAGCATCAGTTCTTTAAAAGGCAGATTGAGAAAATGAGAAGCAGCTATAGATTGAAAGAAAGTGCTTGCTACATATACAACCATCAAATGACTCACCCTTTCGACTCCTACAACCCAGTGAGGCCAAGACAGGCAAGCCAGTAGACACTTGGGTGAGAGACTGGAACAGCCGCTTCGCAGCAGAAGAACCCCCCCTGAGCAGGGGGCATAGGCAGGTGCCCAGTCTCAGCAGTGACCAGGGAAGTGCCCATTAAACCGCATCGCGATCTTTCTCACCCACCCACGTGGCTAAAGGAAAAGGACCGTGGGTTCCAGGCAGTGCTGAGGGCAGCAAGCCACACACACCTGCAGGCGGCGCTAGCGAAGTCGTTGGCGGTCTCTGCAGAAGTCCGTGCTGTGCACACCTGTTTTAGTGGATCGCTGCTAGGCATGTTGCAAACAGAAATATGTGCACACGTGTGCCAGGAGACTGTGCACGCCAGATGTTCACAGCAGCCTTATCAATGATGACCTGATGCCAACCAAGTGTGTAACAGCAATACAGTGGCAAAATAAATAGGATTCGTTCTGAGAACAGAAAACTCACAACAAACCCAACATGCCTGAATTCCTAAAACCCAGCGGGACCAGGGAGGCCTAACAATGTGCTTTAGGATTTCATGTATGTAAGGCTGAAAAACAGGCAGCAGTGAGTTATTATTCGCGGACAGATAATTAGGCAGCAAAAATATAAAGAAAAGCGAAGAAATGACGCCATAAAAGGATGGTAGTCACAGTTACACAGGACTTCATCTTGCAATAATGTCTTCTCTGGATGTGTGCATATATTATTATATAAAAAATAAAACAAAGATGGGAAACTGCAAGTCAAAGAATCTGTCTGAGCTCATGACACAGCTAGTTGGGGAACAGAGCTGGGAAATGAAGGCTGCTGTTCTGAGCCCAAGGCTGTGCGTCGTCCCAGCCCCATGGGCACTGTCGCACAGGTCTCCTGCACCGCAGTGTGCGCGCCTGCTCAAGCCTTCCCCACGCTCTCTTCCCTCCCTCCCTGTCTGTCTGTCTGTCTGTCTATCTGTCCTCTCCCCTGCCCCCCGCTTGCTCACAATGAGGGCCCTGTACAGAATCCCACATAGAAGTCAGACTTGCCCCTCCTTCAACCCCCACTCCCCACCCCACAGTGTTTATCAGACTTCTCAGGCTGTGTGCTGAAGAACTTGCGAGAATTAAAACAGGAACCGTCATCAAAGGTGCTTTATCTCTTTTCTAGAAATCTAGAGGAAACACAGAAACCCCAGGGGTTAGTGATGGCGACATGTCTGGGCAAGCATGGGCGCTCCCAGGTGGGCTGTCAGCCTCGGGAGGTTTCCTGCCAAAGCTGTCATTAGCCTGGGTTCCACTGGAAAGGAGGCTTAGCGGATCAGTCCTTCTTTCACTGTGTAATAACGGAGCCCAAGAGCCCTTTCAAGCGTGTTTGTTCTGGCAGAGCGCGGGCCACCTCTGACAGCTGAATGGGCAGCGTGCCCGCTGCGGTTAGAGCCTGGGCGTCCCCACAGAGGAAACAGCAGGCCAGTGGGTCGGGGAGCCTGGTACCGCTGGTGGCCTGCCCAGGGGTGAAGTCATTGATTCATCCCTTCACTCAGCCAGTCAGTCATTCGCTCAAGAACGTGTGCTAGGGGCCCGAGATGCAGCAGTGAGCAGGAAAGACAAGGTCCCTACCCTCCTGGAGACAGATAACCAAGGTAAGTAAGCCCATTGTAGGTTAGATGGTGATGAGGGATGGCAAGCAGGAGTGATGGGGGGTGGTCAGAGGTTAGCAACAGTTGAATAAAGGAGATGAAAGGGTGACTTAAACATACTCCTGGGCAGAGAGTTTTGGTGGCAGAGGCTGGAGTTTCCATGATGGAAGAGCAGCAAGGAGGCCAGTGTGGCAGGAACAGTCTGGGAGGGGGTGGGGGAGAAGGACACAGGTCAGAGCAGTAATGGGTCGTAAGTCAGTAGGGCCTTGTGATCACGGTGCTGACTGGGCTGTTCCTTGGGGTGAGGCAGTGCTATTGACAGACTTTGGACAGGATGGCAGAGTCTGACTCAGGTTCCAGCAGGAGCCCTCTGACTGCCGTGGGGAGAATAGATAAAAGGATGCAAGGGCGAAGCAGGGAGACCGGTTAGATGCTAATTATACAGCTATACAGGTGAGAGATGATGGCGTGGCCCAGGAAGGTATTGGTGCTGAGAAGTAATTGAATTCTTGATGCATGATGAAGGTGAGCCTATAGTATTTCCCTGTTAGAATGGAAGAAAGGTGTAACAGAATGAGAGTCATCAGGGTAATTCTAAGGTGTTTTGATGCAAGCAACTGGAAGGCTGGATTAGCTATTAACTAACGTGAGAAAGACCACAGGAAGTATATTTGTTTGGCAGGAAAATCAAGAGTTTACTTTGGGGCTCAGTCTGAGATACCTGAGGGAGACTCAAGTTTAGAAGTCAGGCAGGCAGTTAGACATTTAAGTCTAGAGATTAGGAGAGAGGACTGGGTTGGAGAGAGAAACACAAACACATAGATGGGGTTTGAAGCCATGAGACTGGATGAGACACCACTAAGCAAGTATAGGAACAGCAGAGAACCAGAGCTGAGTCTTGAGCTGCTCCCCAGTAAGAAATCAAGAGCAGAGGAGGAGCCAGCAGAAGCAGCTGGGGAAGAGGACCAGTGAAGGAGGGGAGCCAGGAGCCAGTGGGGCCCCTGAGATGAATGAAGAGAATGTCTGAGGAAGAGGAGCAGTGATCAGCTAGCTGTGCGATGCACTGCCAATACAGCAATCGGTAGAGAGCGGGCATTGAGCACCACTCATCAGTAACTTGAACAAGGGTGGTTTGGGTGGAGAACTAGAGATAAGCTTGAAAATAGTAGGTAGGAGAAAGAATAAGAGGTGAGGAATTGGAGTGTGAGCATAGTCAACTCAAGAAGTTTGCTGGAAAGGAAAAGAGAAATGGAACTGTAGCTGGAGGGGGAAGTCAGGTAGAGGTTTTTGTTTATTACTTTTCTTTCGTTGAGAGACAAAGAGCAATGCAAAAGATTGATGGTGCAGGAGAGAGAAAAATTGCTGGAGCACCAATATTTCTTGTGGCTATAAATGCAAAAATGCTCAACAAAATACTAACAAATTGAATCCAGCAATATACAAAACCATTATGCACCATGACCAAATGAGATTTATCCCAGGAATGCAAGGATGGTTCAACATCTGAAA